CCCGTCTTCTGCACCTGACCCTCCGGACTCCTGGGGGCTATATTGGGAAACTTTTCCTCCCCTCCCATGAGCCGGGCTTGGAGCCTTGACCATCCCTCTCCCCACAGTGGATGAGGCTGGAGGACGAACGCGGGAAGCCCTACTTCTACAACCCAGATGATGACTCGGTTCAGTGGGAGCTGCCCCAGGTAACTAACTGGGAAAGCGAGAGTCCTGGGGAGAAGGGAGGGCATTATACCTGACACTGTCTTTCTCCCCAGGTTCCTGTCCCTGCCCCTCGAAGCATCTGCAAATCCAGCCAGAACAGTGAGACCGCAGCCCAGGCCAACCCCCCCGAGGAGAAGGTAAAGGAAAGAGCATGTAGGCCCTAGCAGAAGAAATCGGGGCTTCCTGGAGGTCGTGGGGCCTGGGGCGGGGTCGGGCATGTCACCTCCATAGGCCCCAGCACTAGCCTGAGCTGAATGAACCTGGATCTGGGTTATCCTGGGCCCAGGTTTGGGTGAGGTTGGGAGCCGGGAGGAAATCTCTCCTGCTGGGGTGGGAGCAGGCACCCCACCAGCAGCAGCAGCAGAAAGGGGTCAGTGATGACTCAGGCCCCGCCTGGAAGGAGTTGCCGGCTGTTGGGGAGACTAGCCCCTGCCTGCCCTGTGGCTCAGCCCCTTAACCCCCTCCTCTTTCCCCTTGTCTTTCTAAGATCAAGACCCTGGACAAGGCCGGTGTGCTGCATCGCACCAAGACGGTGGACAAAGGAAAGCGGCTCCGGTGAGAGCCTGTCTGCGTTCAGACTAGGGCAGGGCGGGCCTTAATTAAGATGACATTTACTGAGCACATTCCATATCGAGGCTTTTATTTATTTTTTTTAAGTTTATTTATATAAGCAATCTCTACAGCAAATGTGGGGCTCGAACTCACAGCCCCGAGATGAAGAGTCAGTTCCATATGCCAGGCTCTTGTTAATCTTCATAGCAACTTTCTAAGAGGTCCCGTGAGGACACACTGAGGCACTGAGAGATAGTGACTTTCCCAGGGTCCCTTGGCCACCACGTGTTAGAACTGGGAGTCCAGCCCTCACGGTTGGGTACCCCAAGCTGAGCTGTGTTCTTAAGCTCTGTGCCCCGCTCCTGTGGGTGGAAGGGGGCCTCAGCCCAGGGCCCAGTGCAAGCTTGGCTACCCCCCACTTCCCCACCCCCACCTAGGAAGAAGCACTGGAGCGCCTCCTGGACGGTGCTGGAGGGTGGCATCCTGACTTTCTTCAAGGACTCCAAGGCCTCAGCTGCAGGTGGCCTGGTAAGGCCCAGGCCCCGGGACAGGGACCATCGCATCTGCTTCTGATTCCTGCGGCTCTTTACCTGATCTGGCTTGTCTAAGGCTAGGTCTGAGACAGTGGAATATGAGTGCCAGCGGAGCTGGGCCTTGGCAGGGGGTGACGACAGCAGATTCAGCCCACGACAAGTGCTTCCAGCCACCCTGGGCATGGGGAGCAGTCCTTGAGGGTGGCCTCCCCAGCCTGGTGGGCAGGCAGACTGGGGACTGGGCACACCTGCTCCTGGGGATGAGAGCTGTGCTCCTTTCTCCTTTCCTCCTGGGTGAGCAGGTAGCAAAGGACCAGCCAGTCCAGGATCCCTAGGTTCTAGGAACCCCTGGGCCCGCTTTCCCTATCCTGTCCCTGGAGCCAGGAGCCCTGGCAGGCCTGTCTGAGCTGAGGGCTCCTGGTAACTGTGCTCCCCCCAATCCTTCTCCCCTCTCCCACAGAGGCAGCCTCCCAAGCTCTCCACGCCTGAGTACACAGTGGATCTGAGGGGGGCCTCTCTCTCCTGGGCCCCCAAAGACAAATCTAGCAGGAAGAATGTGCTGGAGGTGAGTGATAGGGGTTGGGAGAAGGAGAAGGGGCTTACTGATGGCTTGAGACCCTCATTAGGCAAGCCTCAAGAAGGGGGACCTGGGGAGAGTGGGACTGGAATTCTCAGGGCTCAAAGCCAAAGTTGCCCCCACCCCGGGCATCCGCCCACAGCGTTTCTGGCATCACGGATTCTGCAGTTCCCTCTCCAGGAACTGGATTCAAGTTCTTGGCTCTAGAGGGTGTTGAGAAGCAGGGGTCTCTGTGGAATGAAACTCATGCCTAGAAAAGCGGCCCTCATCCCAGACAGGAGATTCCCTGTCCCCCACTACTCACTTAAACAGGCCGGGAACCTGCTCTGGCTGATCAGAGCCCAGCTTCCAGCTGAACTGGGTCCTCAGTGAATAAGCTGGGTCCCCAGTTTGCCAGGCTCCCCTAGCAGGAAGGCAGAGGCCACGTGGGGCCCAGGCAAGGACCCTTATGGTACCACACATTCCACTGCCCACATGTGGTCTTGCTTTGAAACTACCTTTACCCTCACCTCCGTCCCCAAAAGTTCTGAGGCAGCTCACAACAAGAACACGTGTGGTGAGCTGGTAAAATCCACTGAAAAGCCAGCACCAGCCACAACAAGTCAGAGGAAGGGGTCAGTGTGGAGAGGCATCAGGAGGCAGCTGATGTACAGGTGCTAGGTTGTTGCTAAAAAAAAAAAAAAAAAAAAAAAAAAAATCAGTTACATAGTTCTTATTGATGAGGGAGGGGTCTTTCCCCAATTTTGAGGGAAATCAAAGCTCTTTCCTAACCCTTAGCTCTTTTTTTTAATGTTTTATTTAATTTTCAAGAGAGAGAGAGTGGGGGAGAGGTGGGGGGGGGGGAACAGAGGATCTGAAGTGGGCCCTGAACTGACAGGGTGATAGCAGCAAGCCCAATGCAGGGCTCGAATCATGAACCGCGAGATCATGACCTGAGCTGAAGTTGGACGTCAAGTGACTAAGCCGCCCAGGCGCCCCGGCTCTTTTTTTTTTTTTTTTTTTTTTTAATTTATTTATTTGGAGAGAGAGAGAGAGTGTGCACATGTGTGTGAGTGGGGAAGAGGCAGAGGGAAAGGGAGAGGGAGAGAGAGAATCACAGGCTCCGAGCTGTCAGCACAGAGCTCCGACGCGGGGCTCGAACTCACAAACTGTGAGATTGTGACCTGAGCAGAGATCAAGAATCAGACACTTAACCAACTGAGCCACCCAGGCGCTCCCCCTAACCCTTAGCTCCCGAAGCAATTTTTAGTGTGGAGCTCCATTCTAGTTTAGCTGCTTCAGGTAACATGAGAAAAGCCACGAGCATAACCTCACCATTCAGCTCAGAAAATGCAGTTCTGCAAGGCACTTGAGTATGTAGTCTTCACCAAGCTTCGTGCAGTTCTAGAACCAGTGTTATCCACAGAGCAGGCTTGGAAAACCAGTTTGATCTCATGAGCTACTCTGCTCAGTCAGTCCGTCTGGAGCCTTCTCCAGGCTTAGCAGCGTCAAGTGCTGTGAACAATTAGCAATGTCTGTCACGGGTGCCAGACCGGAGAACGTCACTTTGCTGTGCATGTCCCTTCCCTGACCTAAAGGGATGTCCTTCAACCAGTGCTCTATAAATGTCATCCCTCTGACTTGGCTTTTGATGAAAGCTTCTGAATAAATGTTTCTGAGCTGTCTTTTCTGGCAAGAACTGGAAGGCAGATGGTACTTGTGGAAGTTATTCAAGCTGTTGGAAAGGCTGACAGTCTTGAACGGAAGCGGAGGAGCCCCCTGCTTCTGCTTCTTGGCCGCAGGTGGCCATCCTCCCTCCATTCAGGGGTGGCCTGCAGGCTCCTCTAGGATTTTTCTCAAGAGACAGCCCCAGATTCTATATCATGGCCAAGGTAGTTGGGCCCGGCAAATTTTCACAGCCAGTCTTCCTTGTCACTCCAGAGCCACAGGAAACTTCAGTAATAGTCCTCCAAAAACAGCTAGTTTGGGGCAGCTCAGCTTGCCTGTGCATTCAACAGGATGAACGTTTTATGAAATCTGTTGCTACGTATACGTACAATATAGCCTTTCCTTCCGTATGAAACTTTCAGATATGAATGGATGTTGTTTTGAGAGGCCCCTGGTCTGCCCATCTGTAACAGATATGCTGTCACTTACTGCATAAGGCATTCCAAAGTGGAATGCCTCGGCCCCCAGGGTGAGGCCCTTGCTCTATTATGCCTTCAGTTCCTGGGGACAAGGACAGATCATCTCCACCATTTCTCTGCCCCTCCCCCTCCCCCTGCTAAGGCCTTGCTCTGGGGTAGACCCAGGGAACCAGAGATGACTGAGTGACTTGTGTCTCTCCAGCTACGGAGCCGAGATGGCTCAGAGTACCTGATCCAGCACGACTCAGAGGCCATTATCAGCACCTGGCACAAGGCCATCGGCGAGGGCATCCAGGAGCTGGTAAGCAGAGCCGGGGGGCCTCTGGGGCTGGTGGGTCGGCCATTACACAGAGCAGCTGGGCCCACTGTGGGTCGGGCATCTGAGGATAAATGTCCCTCCCTACAGATGGGCCGCCGAAGAAATAGTCTCTCATAAGTAGGCAAATCCAGCCTGTGGGGTTGCAGGGGTTGGCCCTGCAGGAGGGTTCTCCTAGGGGTGGAGACACAGCCTAGAGGAATGTCCTGTTTCAAGGGAGGCTGGAAGAAAAGTAAGTATCCAAGAAAGAGCCTCTGTACTAGAACGACAGGCTAAAACCACAAGATAAAATTTTAAGCTATTAAAATTTTAAAGTTAAAGAAGAGTCGACTATTTTTTTAGGTTCAAAAAATTAATTACATAGAGTTAGGACAGACCCCCTCTGACAGCTATTCACCTGGGAACAACCTGGGGCCTTTTGACCCTCGTTTCCCTAGGAGCCAGCAGGGGGGTACAGAATTTGGCTGTATTACTAGAGGTAGGAATCCAGATCTAGGGCGGTGATGCTGGTGCAGTTGTGGGCAGTGTGGAGGCCTCAGCTGGAACTGCAAATTCAGAACCAGGAGCCACATAGTGAGGAATGCTAACCTAGTAGAGTGTGCACAGAGGAGCTAGGAAAATATGGGAAAGGGGGGCCAGGATAAGAAAGAGTGGGAGAGAACAGGATAACTGTCTCCAACAGCTGAAGGGCTTCCAAGCAGCCAAGGGAGGTGAAGTTTCTGAGATTCCCCTGGTGGAAGGAGGTCAGGGGAGGTTAACTGGGGAAGGGAACAGTGCACTCTGCCTGGGAGTCACCAGAGCCGCTGGGAGGGGCGTCGGGGTCCCCGCCCCAGCCCAGATGGACCTCCAGCTGGCGCCGGGCTCTGCCAATCTGAGGCCCCGTGATTCCAGTCCGCAGACCTGCCCCCGGAGGAGGAAAGCGAGAGTAGCAACGCGGACTTCGGGTCCAGGGAGCGCCTGGGAAGCTGGCTGGAGGGTGAGGCGCGGCCCACTGCAGGTGCGCGGTAGGGGGGGGGGGGCGGAGGGCGCCCCCTGGGGGCGGGGGTGGGGTGGAACAGGGGACGACCCACCCGGCCAGTCCCGGCGCCACCGAGCGACTCGGCCCCGCATGCCCGTGCCCAGGCGCAGCCACCGCGGAGAGCGACCTGAGCAAGGTCCGGCACAAGCTCCGCAAGTTCCTGCTGAGGCGGCCCACGCTGCAGTCGCTGCGGGAGAAGGGCTACATCAAAGGTACGGGAGGGAGCCGGCGAGCGCGGCGCGGGCGGCTGGGGGACCGGGCAGCGCTGACGGGCCTCTCCCCCAGACCAGGTGTTCGGCTGCGCGCTGGCCGCGCTGTGTGAACGCGAGAGGAGCTCGGTGCCGCGCTTCGTACAGCAGTGCATCCGCACCGTCGAGGCCCGGGGTACGCGCGGCGCCCGGAGGCCTCCCTCCGGGGCCGCTTGGCAGAGAGCCCTGGGCGGGCGCAGGGCGGCGGAGGGAGAACGGGAGCCCCTGGGTAGGAGCCATAGCGGGAGCTTTAGACCCATCCCACCAAACCCGAGGTCAGCGCCTCCGTCTGCCCCAGGGCTGGACATCGACGGCCTGTACCGCATCAGTGGAAACCTGGCCACCATCCAGAAGCTGCGCTATAAGGTGGACCACGGTGAGGCCCGTCCTCCATCCCCGACCCCAGGGCCTGAAGGAGCAAAGGGGTGCTAACCGCCTCTTCCCCCCCCCCCCCCCACCCCCAACCTTCCTTTCCCCATCGCCGTGTGGCAGATGAGCGCCTGGACCTGGAGGACGGGCGCTGGGAGGACGTCCACGTGATCACCGGCGCCCTGAAGCTCTTCTTTCGAGAGCTTCCGGAGCCCCTCTTTCCCTTCTCGCACTTCCGCCAGTTCATCGAGGCCATCAGTGAGCGCCTGGGGGAGGTGGGGGGGACGGGGTGGGGGTGGGGCCGGCCTCGGGCACCCCCTTGACTGGACCCCGCCCCCACTCTCCCCACTGGGACTCAGCCCCTCCGTTCCCCTGGCCGAGCCGACCCTCCCTTCCCTAGAGCTGCCGGACCAGGCCCAGCGCGGCCGCCGTGTGCGGGACCTGGTGCGCTCGCTGCCCGCCCCCAACCACGACACGCTGCGGCTGCTCTTCCAGCACCTGTGCCGGTGAGCCGGACAGCCGCGCGGGAATGGGGAGGCAGGTGCTGGCGGCCCCCCCCCCCCCCCACGCTCCCCCTCCAGCTCTGGGCCCTGATGGCCTCCGTCCCCACCCCACTCCCCCCCCTGCAGGGTGATCGAGCACGGCGATCAGAACCGCATGTCCGTGCAGAGCGTGGCCATAGTGTTCGGGCCCACGCTGCTGCGGCCCGAGACTGAGGAAACCAGCATGCCCATGACCATGGTGTTCCAGAGTCAGGTGGTGGAGCTCATCCTGCAGCGGTGTTCAGACATCTTCCGGCCGCACTGACAGCCGACCACCCTCACCCCCGACGCTGGCGCTGCGGACCTGGGACTGGGGACCGCGACAGTGGTCCCACCATAGAAGCTGGACGGTTGGAGGCCGCTTGGCCAAACTCTTATCTGTGACACCCGCCGCCTCCCATCGGTCCGCAAGCGGATGTGAAGTCTGCGCCGCTGGGTGCAGTATGGTGACCCCTGGTGGGCAGTTTGCAAAATGTGATTCCCCCCGCACCCCACCCCCCTCACCCACCGCCCTGGCCTGTCTTGTTTGGGGCTTCATTGGGTTTGGTTCTTTATTACATAGACACCTACTGTGTGTGTGTGTGTGTGTGTGTGTGTGTGTGAGAGAGAGAGAGAGAGAGAGAGAGAGAGAGAGACAGAGAATTGTGGGGGTGAGTTTGATTTCCCAGATGGGCCATGCCCCAGGGGAGGACTTGGGGTGAGGGGCTTCTCAGCTTTTTCAGGCCTGCACCTGGTCAGGGCTTCAAGGACGCCCTCCCTGTGGGGCCCCGGCCCTGTGTGGGTCATGAAGCAGCAACATACACCTTCCTTCCTTCCCTGCTGCCCTGCCTTGCCTCAGGCGCAGCTCCTGCCTGACTCTCAGTGGCTGACTGTGGGCCATTTTCATCTGCTTCCCTGATCCAGGCCTCTGCCCTCCCTGATCCACTCGTGTTCTGAGCAAGGGTTCTCCATATTCGCTAAGCGCATACCCTGAGCTGGCCACCTGCCATGCACCGTTTCCACACACAGTCCCGTTGTACAAATGAAGAAACCGAGGCAGAGGCAAAGTGACTTGTTCAGGGTCCCGTGGGGGTGATGGGTCAGACTGCCCAGCTCAGGCTCCTCTCGTAGCACAGCACAGCCTCCCAGGAGGCCCTTTCCTCCAAGCTCTCCCTCTCCTCCAAACCCAAGAAATGAAGGTAGGTTCTGTCTGGGCCTTGGGAGACCCTCAGGGCAGAGGGGAAACCCGCCCCAGCTGGGGGAGGGGGAATTAGCACTGGCAAGGGGTCCCCAGCCCCTCTCAGCGCCCTGGCCGCCCGGCATGCCTGCCTGGCACCCACCTGGTCCTAAAGAGCTGGGAGAGGCCTGCAGGGTTGGGGGAAGGGGGGTACAGCCTCTGGAAAGGGAGCGTGAGCCCCAGGGGCAGCAATGCCCTCTCCCTCCTCATACACAAACCACCTCAGTTTGTGGGTCTCGCCCCACCCTCCACCCCCCTCCCCAGCTACGGTTCATTTCTTCGACAAACAATAGGAACTGATATTTATTGACATTTGCGCCACGCCAAGCATTTCACCCGGATCGTCTCAGTTTCTCACAGCCAATATTTATTGTCTGCTCCTCCGCGCCGGGCACTGTGCTCTGGTGGAGCACCTGGCCCGGTGGCCGACCCGAGCCCACCTCACATGCCAGCAGGGCCGGGACAAGAGTACAAACGGAGGCCTCACCCCATGCATCGAAATATTGTAAAGTTACAAATCAAGATATAACTGTTAAATAAAAATATGTTCTATTCTCCTACTTTGGTAAATACACGTTCGTAATGACCTAATGACCAGGTTCCAATGTAAACTTCTGTGACTCTTCTGAGTTCTGTGCCCAGGTGTGTTGGCACGAGAAGAGCTGGCTCCTGCTGTCCTGTGGCCACCCGCATGGTCCACCCTTAAGGGAATGGGCCTGGGGCCACTCGGGCAGGGAATTCCGGGGTCTTACATATCGGGAGCAGGGTCCAAAGGGAAGGGCCTGGGCTCCAAGGGGTCCCACAGATTCCTCATCCTGTGGGGAGACAGAAAGGGGGTCAAGAGTAGAACCTTCTAAAGAGGAGGATCCACAGCCGGGCAAGGATTCCTCTCACCCAGGCCTAAAGACAGAACTAAACAGAGGTTAATAAACAACTGATTACGTGGTTACATTATTGTGTACAAAAGCTAAGAAAAAACGCAGGGTGCCCTAAAGGCGTGTCACTCGGGAGTGGCTGTCCCTCAGGAGCCTGAGATGCTTCTGCAGAAGCCCCATTTGAGCTAAGCACTAAAGAATCAAGAGACGTCAACAAGATGAGGACTTAAGGGAAGGGTGTCCAGCCAGAGGAACAGCATGTGCAAAGGCTCTGAGGCAAGAAGGCTTGTGGAGAGAACAAAATCTGAAAAGACGGGGTGCCTGGGTGGCTCAGTCAGTTAAGCGTCTTGACTTCAGCTCAGGTCAGAATCTCCCGGTTGGTGGGTTTGAGCCCCACGTCAGGCTCTGTGCTGACAGCACGGATCCTACTTGGGATTCTCTCTCTCTCCCTTTCTCTCTGCCCCCCCCCCCCAAATAAATAAACTTTTAAAAAATCTGAAAAGACCATTGTGACTAGAGCCCATACAACCAGTGAGCATGTGTGAGAGGTGACGCAGGAAAGGCGGGCAGGAGACAGGGTGTGCCTGTGAACGGGGCAGGGGCGGGGGGTGGGGGGGGGTGGGGAAGGGGCTGTGGCAGGAGGACGCTTGGGCAGGGAGGTCTTGGGAAGCATCCGCTCCCCTGACCGTCCTCACCCCACCCCAGGCTCCTGACCCTGTCGACGCCTTGGTGAGCAGACAAGGTAGCAGCAGGCAGAGAATTTCCAGAATCAGTCACCGGGAGGAACTTCAGAAATCACCCACTGCCAATGAGGAACCTCCTAGAGAGACGATGTCCTAACTCACCTGAGGTCACATGGCAGCTTGGTGACAGAGCCCTGCCCGGAGCTTCAAGTGTGGGCTCCGCCATAAATCCTCAACACCCCGCACAGGGCACGGGAGCACAGCAGGTGCTCCCTGAATATATTTGGAACGAATTGGATTGTGTCTGGAGACACAAAGAAAGATACGTAAAAATAGTAGCTGCCCTCTTGAAGCACCAGCTGGTTGGGAGACAGACCTAAAAATAAGGGACAGTAGCACCGCTGATAAGGGCTGTCACTGAGGGCTCTCTCCCCAGCCTGCACCCTCTGAGCAGATGCTCCAGATCCTGCTATAGCTGGGCATCTGCCCCCGAAGCTGCCCCAGAAAAAACCAGTGCCCGCCTGGTTGCCAAGCCCAGTGGACAATGCCCAGTCCTCATGCAAGTGGACACGTGAAGTGCCTGTTGTCCCCCCACGAAGCACACCGCTCCTCCGCCTGCCGCCTCGTGGGTCTCTGCCCACTCTGGAAACAGCGATGCCCCCTTGGGGGGGGGGTGCCGTCAGCCCATTGCTCCCTCCCCTCCACCCTCCCTAAGGGCCCTCATCCATTCCTTTCTGGGGACTCAGTCACCAGGCCCGCACGTGGGTCACCCAAAAATCTCTCGCCAGCCTGGACCCCTCTCCCCTGAGTTCCAAGTGCAAACGGCCGCCCGCGCGGATGGCTCCCAGACACCCTGAGAGCCACCTGCCTGCAGCAAAACTCTGAAAGCAGCCCTTCTCCCTGCTTCTGGGCCTCGCCCTCCACTTACCAGTCCCCTTCCCCTCCTCGCTGGTCCTTGTCTTCTACCTCCTGACTGCCTCCTGTCCCCCTCCCCCTCAGTCTCTCATCCAGGTGACCCAGCCAATTGCCCTGCCTTCCTCCCCTTCACCTGCCTCTTCCTCCTCCTCCTCTCAGCTCCCCCGTCCCCCCAGCTCTCAGTACATGGGCTCCGGGCATTTGCAATTGTGCTTCCCCACTAGGCTGCTGGCCAGCATGTCTTTATCCGTCCCCTCACGGCCACATAAATACCATTGGATGGACATTCCTTTTTTTTTTTTTTTTTAATATTTTATTTATTTTTGAGAGAGAGAGCGAGAGAGCATGCGAGCGGAGGAAGGGCAGAGAGAGAGGGCGACGGAGGCTCCGAGGCAGGCTCTGCGCTGACAGCAGAGAGCCCGATTTGGGGGCTCGAACTCGAACGGCGAGACCATGACCTGAGCCGAAGTCTGGCGCTTAACCGACTGCGCCGCCCTGGGCGCCCCTACATTTCTTTATGCGTTCACTAATCAGTGAACATTTGGGTGGTTTCCACTTTGGGGCTATTGTGAATGATGCTGCTGTGAGCCCTCGTGTCCAAGGTTTTATGTGGACACGCTGTCTCAGCGTGGGCTGCCGTAGCAAAATGCCACAGACTGGGTGGCCCGGACAACAGAAACTTTCTCACAGCTCTGGGGCTGGAAGTCTCCGATCAGGCTGCCTACCTGGCTTGCAAGACGGCTGCCTTCTTGCCGTGTGCTCACGGGGCAGAGAAAGAGAGAGAGAGATCATCTCTTCCTTGTCTTACAGGGACACGAATCCCATCGTGGGGGCCCCCTGTCCTCCTGGGCCCTACCTCCAAGTATCACCACATTGGGAGTTAGGGCTTTGGCCTATGAATTGCAGGGGTGGGGGGTGGGGGTGGTGAACACAATCATTCAGACCAACCACGGACGTCTTAATTCCCTGGGGTACCCACCCGGGCGTGGACTTGCTGGGTCAGATGGTCACTCTACGTTTCACTTTTGGAGGAACCAAAACTACGGTTTTCTACGGTGGCTGAATCATTTTACACTCTCCCCAGCAACGTGTGAGGGTTTCTGTTCTCTCCCACCTTCCGCAACCACTGCCCCACAGACTCCTTCTCCTCAAGCCTCTGGCCCTCCCCGCCTCCTCTCACTCTCGCTCTCCCTCTGGCTCTCTCGCTCTCGCTCTCTCTCCCTCTCCAGATGGCCTCACCTCTACCTCACAGAAATGATGGAAACCCTCAACATCCCACCAGCAAAGCTTACAGCTGGCTCACCGAATCCTCCCTCCCTCGCCTCCCGGCCCCCGGGTACCTCAGAGCAGACGTCACTCCAGGGCTCAGCTAACCTCCTCCCTTTTCCAGAAGGTAGCCACTATCACTGGCCACCTTTCTCTCCTCCTCATTGAACTGCTGTCTCAGGTGGGTCTCCCCAGGAAATGGAAAGAAGGAAGCTCACTGGGGAGCGGTCTGGGGAGCCACACCTGGTGGGGGAGGGGGTGGGGGATGAAGGCCACAGGATCAGGCTGAGGGGAAACTGAGCTGGGATACAGGCCCCTCCCAGCCTCCGCCGACCCCACGGGCAGCTCTGGAGCTGGGACAGCCTCAGCGTTGTCCCACGTTGTGGCAAGGGGGCCAGACCTTTATTAACCACCTCGTCGTCCAGTCGCTGGATGAGGCCCGTCTTGGGAGGGGGGAGGGGGGAAGGCCCATGAATTTAGGCAAAGAGACTCTTCAGCCCAAGGCATGTCCTAGAGAGCGGCTCAGACGGGACCTGTCAGCAGTCAACCCCGCCACCCCTGGGGAATTAGGCGCCCGGGGCATCCACTGCAACATCCAGCCAGCTCTTTCCTCCCTCCATTTGCTGCCTTTGTTCATGCTTTGACCCCCACACACCATCAGACTCCCGAATTTTCCCTCTAAACTTCCCAATGATCCCACCTTGATAACTGCTGGACGTTGGGGGTCCTCGTATCAGTCGTTCCCTTGGGAGCACCGATCTCTGCTGACCACCCTCTCCTTGGAAACATTCTCTTGCTCTTGGTTTGCACACCGCCACTCCCCCTGGGCCTTCCCACTCTGGCCACAGCACTCATTCCCTTCCGCCCAGCTGGAAAGGTCAGCGTCCTCGGACCCAGCGCCTCCTCTCCCTCTGTACTCGCTCCCTGAGTGACGCGACCCACACCCACGACATCAGTGCCTCACTCATCCATAGCCCCAGGCCCGACTGCTCCCAGAAGCTCCAGACCCCTGTGTCTCCCTAACAACCTGACATCTGCCTGCGCCTGTCCTCAGACTAGGTTCATGACCTTCCCCAAACCCAGCCCTCGCCCAGTGAAATGGCTGCATGACCCTCCAAGCTGGGCAAGTCAGAAACCTGGGGGTATGGCCTTCTCGCTCTTTCTCCCCCTCTCTCCACCCTCCACACCTGATCTATATCCCCGTTTTGTCAGTTCTACCTCTCACATCCACCCACTTCTCTCCAACGAGAGTCCCACCTAGTCTCAGGGGCTCACATCTCCTGCCTGGACCACTGCAGCAGCCTCCTAGCAACGCCCTCCCCCTTCCCACATCCTCTTTCCCCCACCCCACCCACGCTCATTTAAAATGACAAACCTGAGGAGCGCCAGGGTGGCTCAGTCAGTTAAGCGTCCGACTTCAGCTCAGGTCATGATCTCAAGGTTCATGGGTTCGAGCCCCGTGTTGGGCTCTGTGCTGACAGCTCGGAGCCTGGAGCCCGCTTCAGATTCTGTGTCTCCCTCTCTCTCTGCCCCTCCCCTGCTCACACTGTGTGTGTGTCTCTCTCTCAAATATAAGTGAACATTAAAAAAAATTAAAATTAGGGGCGCCTGGGTGGCTCAGTTGGTTAAGCATCCGACTTCAACTCAGGTCACGATCTCGCAGTCCGTGAGTTTGAGCCCCGCGTCGGGCTCTGGGCTGATGGCTCGGAGCCTGGAGCCTGCTTCCGATTGTGTGTCTCCCTCTCTCTCTGCCCCTCCCCTGTTCATGCTCTGTCTCTCTCTGTCTCAAAAATAAATAAACGTTAAAAAAAATTAAAATTA